CCGCCTGCGCGCCGGGCGGCCCCCCCCCTGCTCGTCGGCCTCGGGCGTGGAGCAGCGGGTGTCCTCGCTGGACAGGAGCCGCATGTCCCGCGACAGGGGCGTGAGGGGGGCGGAGAGCAGCTCGGGGCTGCTGGGGCTGCGCGGCGAGTACGTGTGCGACAGCTCCGCGTGCGCGTGGCAGCTGCCCACGTCCGGGGACGCCGGCTGCGGCGTCGAGGGGTTCCCCAGCTGAGGGGTCGTCCGTCCGTCCGTCGACCTGTAAGACCTGAGAGGGGAGGATGCTCAGGAGTGTCCCCCCTGCCCCGTCCCCTGGCAGCGCCTGCGCCACGACCCATGGAACCGGACACCTGAGCAGGTTCTCCGAGCGCCTGCACCACCCGCGTGACACGCGGCGCCACGGAGTGAGCGCACAACGCGGATAATACAGGAATTTCAATAGTCGGGTGTCGGAGCAGCACGGCAAAACCCCTGGACTTCAGCAAATTTGAACCAGCAATTAAATCCACACGGGTTCGCAAACAACAGGTCCAGGGGCCCCAGATAAAAAAGCCTGAGCGAAATCTCCTGCTCTCCACAAATCTCCAGGATGAGCTTCAGCAGCAAGTGGGAATCAAGGACTGCTGAAGAACACGTTCCAAAATCCACCTGGGCCAAAACGCTCATCAGAACATGGAAATCCAGCCACAATGAGACTAACGAAACAGCAACACCTGCGGCCAGGCTCTGCGTAGACAGGACGTGTAGAGCCAAGACGCAGTGTTAAAACTGCCACAGAAACAACTGTGAGACCCCACAGACCTCCTGCGAGAGCAGGAGGGCCAGGGGCAGAGGATCCTCCGAAGCAGGTGAGGGAGGGAACGAAAGACACTGCAGGAACTGACCAGACCCCAGTGTTCACTGGCGCCTCCGAGACGGAGCCCGAACTCACCCTGATGCCCGAGCCTGGCCCTCCCACAGCCTCTCCCACAACTTCCCCACAGGAGATCCTTAACGAAACGCAGGCACAGTCCAAGGCTGCTGGGCGTGAGAATCTGGCTAAAACACCAAAATGGTCTTTTCTCGAGCAGCCCCAAGGAATCTACCGAAGAAACTTGAAAGAATTGGGAATTTGTGACAACGAAACCACCAAGACGAAAGCGATGACGCACAGTCCTGCCGGTGCTGGGTTTGCGTTTGTGAAGGCTCTTGCAGGACCCTGGGCTCTCCCAAGCCAAACACAAGGACAAACACAAGCCAAGGACAAACAGCACCGGGAACCGAGGGGGAGACGGGGAACCTCTGCTCAGGCAGCGCTGGGAAACGGACAGCTGGAAACGGCAGTTCTAGACACCCCTCGCAAAGAGATGCTGGAGAAAAGAGAATCAAGCGCCAAGCGATGCACGGAATGGAGGGACACTGCTATAAACGGAGCTGAACGCAGACTCTGCGGGAGCGATCGAGCGGAGGGATGATCCGGGGGGTAACATGAAGAGGAACCGCTGCTCCCGTTCCCGCGTCAAGGATCCCGGCTGGGCTTGCGCGGGCCAGCGCAGGGAGCCTGAGCGGAGCGAAGGCCCTGGGGCTTCCCCAGCAGCGACAGCGCTCGAGGAAGGAGCTCCCAGCGCAGCCCCCGCACCGGCCGTGCAGGAGCCACCGCGCTGCTGAGCAGCTCCCCAGCTGCTGCCCAGGCTGCGCGTGGGCTCCG